CTTTTAAAGGTATGACTTTATTAAAATTGATTAAATGTAATTTATGCAATAGTTGTAATGCACATTTATCTCATTCTTTTACATAACAACATAAATACATAAATATGTATCTTGTTATGAATAAACTGGTTTTTCTTACTTACTTTTTTACTTAATCAGTGGTATCATTTCTTAAAGTTGGATAAAAATCGTAAAGAGAACTTAAAATACCCTTTTTTCTTTCAGGAAACTAGTCCTGCAACAACAAGCCATGGTGCTCCTTTGATAACAAAAGATGCATCCCTCACTGTAGGGTTGAGGGGTCCAATTCTTCTTCACGACATAGCGTATGTGGATGAAATGGCTCATTTTGATCGTGAACGGATACCCGAAAGAGTGGTCCACGCAAAAGGTGCTGGTGCCTTTGGTTATTTTGAAGTTACCCATGATATAAGTAAATACACGGCTGCAAAAGTTTTTGACCAAGTTGGTAAAAAAACTCCGGTTGCTGTGCGTTTTTCTACGGTGGGTGGTGAATCTGGTTCAGCAGATACAGTTCGGGATCCCCGAGGATTTTCTGTTAAATTTTATACAGAAGATGGTAACTGGGACTTGGTCGGTAATAATACTCCTATTTTCTTTATTCGCGATCCCATATTGTTCCCCAATTTCATTCACACTCAGAAGCGAAACCCTGCAACCCATCTTAAAGATGCAAACATGTTTTGGGACTTCATTACTTTAAGACCAGAAACCACCCACCAAATCACATACATGTTTTCTGATAGAGGAATTCCCGATGGTTATAGACACATGAACGGTTATGGATCACACACATTTAAGCTCGTAAATGCCGACAGCAAATCAATTTACTGTAAGTTTCATTTCAAAACAGATCAAGGTGTCAAAAATTTGGATGTGGACAAGGCTGCCCGTTTGGCTTCGTCTGATCCAGACTATGCAATTAGGGATTTGTACTAGATTTATAGCAAACAGTTTCAGAGATAGAAGATAACAGCGATTCTGATTTTGATAAACAAGTTTTTTAAAAATAGACGTACCTAGTCTTAAGATATTCTTGCAAATTAAAACCTGTGTGGAAAACAAATAAATATTTTGTTCTTAATAAACGAGGTACCACCTTATCTGATTTTTAATTAAAATTGTTATGCAATTATTTAGCTACTTTTTGACATTGACGTTTCAAAAGTATCACCGACTTTTTTGTTTGGGACCAGGATTTTGATTTTATCTAAACGAAAATTCCCATTAACTGTTTTGGGAAATTCCAAGAGCCAATTTCTTTGTGTTAGCTTATTGTGTTTGTAGGTCAAGTAGGACAGTAATTATTTACTATTACTTTTTCTCATAGTTCAGTTCGTCCATTTTTTTGCTTGAATTGACCTAGATTTAAGCACTTCAATCAATTAAAAATGTCGGTAAGACTAACCTTGCTCGGGGCAGTAACATGCTAAACAAGTAAAAGTTGCCCCTAATTTTTATTTAAGTGGGTACTTGTTTCAGGACATCTTGCATTCAATTCATGTAGGTACTTGAACTATTGAATTAATTTGATGTTTTCCTACAAATGTGCCTATTGGGGTTGTAAAGTTGATTTTATAAATGATTTACAATTACTAACACATGTATATCTGTTTAATAAAATTTAATTGTACATAGTTTGTTACCATTTTTTACCCCTGTGTAAATGGTGATGTCAGAATTTGTTAAACAAAAGGTTGTGGAAAACTTTTAACATTTCTTTTAAAAGGGAGAAAATGCGTTGTATAAGGGAGTAAATTTTATAGTAATTTGATTTTTTACCATTTTCCCTCAAGACAAAGAGAAAATACATACATACTGTCAAACTTTATTGATATAATACACTCCTTTAGAGTATTCGTAAATATAAAAGATTTTGAATAGTCTTTTCTTTTGCAGTATAGTACATTCTATAGTGATCACCCTGTAAGGTTTTGTGGCCTACTTTTGTTTTGCCAGTAGCGTTGTTAAAAAAGTACCCAATTTTGAATTTTTATGCACGATTGAATTACTTGTCCTTTTCGACAACAACCTTGGAGTATTTGTGTAGCATTATTTCATGAATTATTCTTAAAAATTAATGCTAATAATATAGTTACATATTTAGTAGAACTTTTTACTTTACGAATCTAAAAAGCTTATTATTTACAACCTTCAAGTGTTTATATCGAATTGAAACAAGTACAATATTTACAGGTACTACAAGTATTGTATAGGTCATATAGGTATTTTAAATTTAAGACTGCTTCTCGCATCTCGGACCTTTGTCTTTGACAAATATTGCATCACAAATAGTTTGTTGCAATTAAAAATTTATTAAGCATCCGGAAAAGGTAAACTTTAAGTTAGAGTGTTAGAGCCCCTTTCTATAGATAAATTCGAATTTTCTAGGATATATT